TATCTCTCATTTTTTTAAAAAAAAAAGATCTTATGGTAATGTATATTCGAAGTTGTTGTGCTAAATTTGTGTTTTGTGTTGTAGCTGCAAGTTTGCCGCTATTGTTCATTGATGGAGCTAAGTTGCATCAGCTCAACTATTGGTATGCTCTGTTCCCTGGAGCTGCTGGTTGCATTCTTCTCTGTTTAATAGTAAGTTTTGTTTCCTCTCTGCACCTTTTTAACTACTTACCGTTTTATTTGTTTTGTCATTATTTTACTTGAATCGAATTTTTATTTAAGAAAGAAACAAAGAGTTCTTTTGAAATTTGTTGTCTTGACGATGTCATAACATTCGATTGTTGCACTATAAGATTTTTGAAACTTGTGGATAAACATTTGTGTGTTATATATAAACACAGACTGTCTATTAATGCTCTCGTTTTCTGATTATTGCAGCAAGAGATTGTGTGTTACCTAAAAGAAAATGTCAAATTCTGATGTACAAAGTCAAGTGGATGCATTTCGGTTTATATTTGTGAATAAGATCATATGATTCTCATTCAACCCAGAAATTGTATTTGTGAATAACATATATCATTCTGGAAATTATCAGCATCATATTATTGTACTATATATTAGAAAAATATCACTAATTTGTGATCATCATAAGCTATATATTACATTACTTATTTACTGAAGACTTTACCAATATTGTTTCAGTCAGACGGAAAATCATACCCAAGTACCCTATAAAGGGGTGAAAAAAAAAGTACCCTATAAAGAGAAAATGCATAAAGTTAACCTTAAGCTAGTCATTAAATTTTTTAGGACACAACTTTAACAAGATTCCCACAAAGTTTAAGTTAGAGGTGACTTTATCTATTTTTAGGAACCATATTATCCTGCATTCCTTAAACCTATGTAGTGAGTCGTGTAGGTGGCGTGTTTAAATTAGGACCATACATTGGGATTCTTTTCTGCTAAACTTAAATTTTTTATATAGCTAGGTCAGAAGTGGTGGAACTCAATTTTTCAATATAAAGATTTAAAATTTGAAAAACCAAGTGCACGAACAAGCAAAGGAATTGATCAAAATCTATTATATAAATAAAAATAATTTTAATCATATATATACAATGTAATTTTTTGCGGGAAGAAATTCAAATCCTATTGATCTCACGTAGTTCAGCCCATGGTGACCAGGAGCAGCCATGTGGGAGGAGATGTTACAACAAAATAAATAAATGAAAAGTTTAAATTTGCTTTTTGGCCTTTATAGACCAGTATGTCGAATGCATGTGAATCAAGAGCCATTTCTTTATAATTAACAATAATAAAGTTTTTTTTTTATATAACTAACAAAGAGAACTCAAATCAACATTTATAATTAAAAAAAAGTTGAAAACTTTGCGTCTTTATGCACGACCTTAGCTCAAAGATAGACGGGCTAATTAGCAGTTTGCTTTTTATTTCAATAAATCAAATATATTTAATACCATAATTCAAGCACACATAATACAATAAGGAGTCGTTTGATTGCTAATTAGAGCTATACAAATATTAATAATATATAAACTAATTATACAAGATTTGATTATTTATATATTAGTTACTTCATCTTTTATCATACATAAAATAATATATAAATTGATTCATGATTTATAATGGAAAAGTTAAAGAATCTCTAAAACATTATTGTTCAAAGCAATTTTAATTTCTAAGTGGGAGTTTCATAATGGAGAAGTTTGGAAATTCTATATAAAAAAATAAAATATTCACACCAGAAATTTTTTAGAGAAATAATTTTCTAGTCTCTTATAATTATTTTTTTTATAAGATACCTTTATCTATACAGAGTTTAAAAAATTTCTTTTTTTTATTTTATTTTAAGTAAAAGGACAAAAAAATCTTATTTCCTCAATATTTTTAAAATGGAAATTTCAGCATCAAAAGTAAAGAGAAGAAATTTTGGGGCGGGGCCAATGGACTTTTAGACCGTACATGTATTAGCATAATCTTTTAAATTAATGACAATTGCCACATATAAAAGGCATAAATACAAATTAGAGGTGGACCACATTAGTATATATTGGAGTTTCTTTGCTTGGTGGGGTTGTCATGATATTTGATTGATGTAGTGGTTTAGTGCTAAGCACGGTTTTAATTACGACCTTCTTGACAACAACGTCTCCTTTTTTTTTATATTTTATTTTTAGAGTATAGTGTGACTAGTAGCCAACTAGTGAGACTAATTAAGATTTACCCCATTAATAATCTTCGTATAAAAGAGTTGATTATTTTATTTCACTCTTATTTTTCAAATTATAAAAATCCCTTAAAATTTATGGATTTCAAATACATCACTGGACCTCCAGATACAGTGGCAGAGCCACCTTATTCTCAGGGGTTCATCCGAACCCCCTTCGGCAAAAAATTATATTATTTATACATGGTTAAAATAATTTTTTAGGTATATATAATAGATGTTGAACCCCCTTCGGCTACTGCGTGTGTCTATTTCTTCAGATTTTGAATCCTTTTATTGAAAAGCATGGCTCTGCCACTGTCCAGATACATCAGCAAACATCCAGATACATAGGGGAGGGATGTCTCCCGAGGGGAGGAGGTATGTATCAGAGAGAAGATAGGACATCCGGATACGTAGGAGAGGGATGTATCAGAGAGGAAAGGGATGTCTCAAAGGGGGAGGGATGTATCCGAGAGAGGAGGGATATATCAGAAGAGGGGATAGGACATCCGGATACATAGGAGAGGGATGCATCATAGAGGGGAGGGATGTATCATAGAGGGGAGGGATGTATTCGAGAGGGAAGGGATGTATCAAAGAGGAGATAGATGTATCCGAGAGGGAGATACGGATGTATCAGCGAGAGGAGAGTGATGTATCAGAGAGGATTTTTTTTAAACAAAAAAATTGTAGGAAATTTAGAGATTATGATACAATAAGATGTGTATTTAGCTAATTTTTTCATAGTATTTTCATACTTTGATTCGAAGTCTTCAATTTAGGATGGAGAAATTTCAATCATCGCGATAACAATTAACACCTGTTGGTGACAAGGACATCGATGCCTTGTTCTTACACGCGTTACCTTTGATATCAGCAACTTTGTAGTATTTTTTTTTCTTAATGCTCTGGGGTGCAAAATAGAAAGACGATTGTGGATATTAATCTTTTAAGTACTTTTGACTAATTTATTTTGGAAAATAGTTTTATTTATTGTTGAGTTTAATTTAATATGAGTTCCGTTCTGCCTCAGAGAAGCAAAAATAGAAATGAGATTTTTATTTAATTCATAAAAACTTCTTCCTTTTTGCTCAACCACCTACGGTAAGTGCTTATTAGCCACTAATTTATTTAATTTATAAGTGATAATCAGTTTACGTGGTTTAACTTGTGTTGATATCCTACTCATGTAAGACATATTTAAGTATAAACATCGTACTTTCAAAATATTAAAATCTACAAAGTAATTTACTTTTCCTTCATGACTTGGTATAGTATTTGTCATAGTTGGTTAGCTTAGCATTCTTTTAAAAGTGCTTGTAATTTTTTAGTGTGAGCATCATCAATTTTTTTTATTTCAAATTCTCCCAAAAGGAATAGGTCTATGGTTGATGTACATGTTTAAATATTAGATAGCTAAACTGAATCACGGGCCGATTTAGAATTTGAAATTTATAAATTTCTATAATGATCTCAAGTTGATACTAAGTTTAAGCACATCTGTAAGATCGGATCGTGTGCCTCCACGAGATATGTTTTTAGATGTCGCATTAAATATTCTTGGTTTGTATTGTTTGTTGGTGAAATAGTTTATGACTTTTCGACCAGGTATAGGGCGATTCTGAACCCCCCCCCCCCCCCCCCCCCCCCCCCCCCC